GGGAGATACAGTGGAGTTGGTATGCAGCCAGTTATCAGCAAGTTGGAAATAGGATCCTTACAGGTGGATTCTAATTGGTTAATCAACATGCAGCACGACTCATCTCTCCTCACCTTTGAATCTGTATTTGCATTTCTAAATCAGTTTCGTGCTGCTGTGACTCTTGTTTGAATGTTGTTTGGATGTGACTCTTGTTTGAATGTTGTTTGGAGAAGTCTTTCAAAGCAGTGCAGAGGTGCAATGACAGCGGAGCCCCCATGAAAGGGCAATAAACATATGAGGACGTGCAAAAGTATGCTAGCACTGTTGAGGTGTGAAAACGAAACAAAATGTAGACAGCTTTTTTGAAGACGGTGTCAAAAGGCTGAGACACCGGTGGGAAAGACACAGGCAGATTCGACCTATATATGTCTCTCCAGCTGCACACAGCCCTTTCTATCCTTAAGCCCTCTGGGAGGGTTCAGACTGTTCTGTGACAGAATAGCAGCATAGCTAATATGTCTGAGGAAAGGGACTCTGACATATTTCCAGTAGGCTTCCTTTCTCTTCGGCTGACCCCTACGTGCCTTGTCGTCCCCATCCACCCTTCCTTAGCCTTTTGCTCCCACCTTTCATTTCCTAGCCCATTACTTCTCTTGCTCTCTCTGCAATTTTTTGCCGTCTACCTTCTCCTCAGCTCCTCATTAGACATTCAGACCCCACCCCCATCGTGCCTCACATCTCTCCAGTTTCAGCCTTCCAGGCTTCTGTTAACAGCAGCGCAATTAACAGTGAAGGAGGGCATGCACGACTATCAGGTATTAGCTAGCTTGTGCCTGCCCCACAATCCATTCTTTTGCCGTGCACATGGCTTCTTTGAAGAAATATAATAATTCCTGTTGTTTTTCAACAAGTCCACATATTCTGCATTTTGTAATGAGATTTCATTCATATCTCTGTGACAAAGCAGCATCCACGCAGAAACCCCGACTTTGGCATTATGATAGAACTAGGGAGCAAAGCCCATTGTGGACGAAGATAAATGGGCCCTAGAAAGGTAGGGTGGATGGGTGGTAGATAGATAGGTAGATGGATAGATACAGGGAGAGGGAGACGAATGAGTACGGGGGTAGGAAGGAAGGAAGGAAGGAAGGAAGGAAGGAAGGAAGGAAGGAAGGAAGGAGAGGGGGGGGAGACATAGACAGTCAGTAAGCCAGACAGACAGGGAGGGAGGGAGGAGGGGGGACGAAGTCAAAGCGATGGGGATGAAGGAAGAAAGTGAGAGAGGGAAAGAATGAAGGGAGATAGGGGAAAAGGAAGAGAGAGTGAGGAAGGGGGGTAGTGGGGAAAAAGGGGCGTTGGGGGTTGGCTCAGTGCCGCCGCCGCCCCTCGCCTGCTGCCCCCGGAAAGCTGGCGAAGGTGGGTGGGTGGGGAGCAGCGAAAATTAACGCCGGCCTTCCACTGATTCCCTCCAGCCCTGGCTAGTTGGGGAGGGAGTCGGGTGGCGGTGAGCAGCTTATCGGCGCTGCCGCCACTCTTCAAGTGCTCCCCGGTTCCACTCACCCACCAGGTGGTTGTCAGCAGTAGTCTGACTTCTGAGGGGACCGGGTGCAGAGGCAGGACTACAGCCTTTGTGTTCTGAGGTGGGACTTAGGCGACACAGCCAATGGAAGCTGGGGAAGCTTCTGACGCACAGCTCAAGCCTCCAAACACTGTTGGTGTGCATTTTCTCTCCACTGCGTGACGCTGCGTCTTACTCAATTATATATAAGGGAGAGACTAGGTGCAAGACCCGTTGCGGGAAGAGAGGCAACGGACCCTAGAGAGAGGCTGCCAGAGCCCCCCCCCCCACGGACTGGCAAAGGAGAGCACGGCGGCTCCCCAGCGGCCAGGCTCACGCCTCCCTCCCCCCGTCCGCTGGAGGTGGTGGGGCAAGCGAGCCATCCTCGTCCGTCCTCTGTCGGCGCGCTGGAAGCGGTGGCTGCCGAAGGTGCACATAGTGTTCCAGCGGCGCGTGTGCCTAGCCGCCTAGCCTTGTCCCTCCCCCCCAGCCAATGGCACGCCAGTTGCCCCGAGTGGCAGCCAGCGGGCCAATGGCTGAGGGAGCGCATTTCCTCTCGCCACCCCATAGGCCGGTGACCACCCCAAAATGCTTTTATATAATGAGAAATAATTATGCAGACATTTTTAGTGAAACACACTGGCCTCTAGTTCTTATTCATAGGTAATCATAGCAAAATTACATCACTGGGTGCCTCACTACCTGCTATCCTTCCTTATGAAAACTGCCCATTTATTCCTATGAACTTTTTCCTGCTCTTCGGCTGGTTCTTGATCCTTAACAGAATTGGCCCCCTTATCCTGTGGCTCCTTAGCTTACTCAGGAGCCTTAGTCAAATGCTCTTTGGAAGACAAAGACACAAGTGTCTAAGAGATCATTCTTATCTACAGCTGCTGCACTCTCAAAAAAATAAAGGTGGTTTTGGAGAGGATCCCCACTGTGGAAGTCCTAATGATTTTTCAGGAGCAAGGGTTCTTCTTCCATTTGTTCAATAATTCTAGCTTTGCTGATGCTTTCCACCAATTTAGCTAGGGACAGGCTAGCATGATTATTTATTGAGACCTTAACTAAAATTTTGGCATATTGAGGGCCAGATGAGACATGACAGCAACAAATCTATGTGCCCCAAAGCTGCCCCAATCCTGTAGAAAGAATTCTGTGTAAAATATGTACAAAGGTAGGTGTGTGGAACCTTCCTCCACCCTGATCTCAGCTCAATTGCCCATTATCTGTTTCCTCAGTTGTTTTCATTCATAGCAACATTCCAATAACAGAAATATGCTCAGCTGAGGAGAAAAACACTCTGGGAGAGGACCTGTGTGAAGGAAGGATAGATTTATTTAACGACAAGGATACGCTGCTGCCATGTTTACCTTTGCCCTAATCCTGTAGCTAGTATTCTACTCTTTCCTCACCTTAAAAGCTTTGCTTGCTATTGACCCATCTAATTATTACAGACTAGGATGCAAGTGAATTAGTTTATGCTTATTCACTAAATGGCATGAGCTGGGTACCAGTGAGTGGCTGACTTGACATGGGAAGATGCTATTAGAAGAAGAAGAGATTGGATTTATACCCCACCCTTCAGTACCGAAAGGTGTCTCAGAGCGGCTGACAAACTCCTTTCCCTTCCCCTCCCCACAACAGACACCCTGTGAGGCAGGTGGGGCTGAGAGAGCTCTTGACAGAAACGGCTCTTTTTCAAGAACAGCTCCTTATCAGAGCTACGGCTTGCCCAAGGCCATCCAGCCAGGTGCAAGTGGAGGAGTGGGGAATCAAACCCGGTTCTCCCAGATTAGAGTCCGCGCACTTAACCACTACACCAAACTGGCTCTCACACCAAACTGGCTCTCTTAGCTTTCTTTGCATGGGCTAATCTTGGAACTTTACACCAGTAACATATCAACCAGGGCCAGTAAGTCTTCCTTCAAATTTCCCAGTATATTCAAAGGTTACATCTATAGACAGTGGCTTGTGTTATTATATGGGTACATATTCATGCATGAATGCAGCGGGCAGCCTAACAGGTCATTCACAGGGAAAATAGCTGCTACTCACATTCTTGTCTCGGTCATGACTGGGTTCTCCTGAGGCGAGCTCTCCAATCAACAATGGTTTAAGAAATTTCTGCACAAAGTTGAGGTCAGGGTGAAAGGCTCGGAATGCATCCTAGAATGGAGAGACAGAACATCACCGTTACGTTGCCCAGTAAGCATGCGCTTGCTCTTTGAAGTTTCTCACATTCTGCTCCTCTGATTCTCTGCTCTGCCTCCATGTGAACTGCTGTAACATACTGGCTAAAAAGAATGAGCTGTGTTTCGGGTTTGATTCTTGCCTTTGCAATAAACTCCCTGAGCAGCCTTAGGTGTGAGCTGCTTTGTCTCTCTCAGGCTCAGTTGCCCCTATTGGCCTACCTTACAGGGCTGCTGCAAGGATTATAGTAAAACAACTTTTTATGAAGCACATGAAAAAAATCCCCTTGAATCATGTAAATCACAGTCACTTTAAAAGGGGGGGGGTATGTGAACTGCCAATTCCAGAGTTTAACTGATGGTACTATTTTTGTTGCACACCTCTGCTTTTGGACGTCCAGATCCTAAAAAGAATTAAGAGAGGCAAGTTTTTTTCCCCTGCAGGAGTATAAGCTGCTCCTGCTAGTGCTGATATCAGTTCTGTAGATTTTTTTTTGGCAGGTAAACCATGTTTTAGAATCAGAACTCGGGCTCTTTACTGAAGCAGTTACTAAGCTGGTGTTTGATCACAGGATCAAATGCAATTCTTGCAATTGTGTTTCAATTCTGTTTTTCAGGTTGATGTAAATTATCCCTAACATTAAGTGGAGAAAGACATTACTGGTCTATAATACTTGGCATTTACCTACGGCTCTTCATCTGTTAATTTCATCAAACGTTAATATCTTGATGGTGGTGTCCAACATATCAAATTTAACATCTTTGCAAAAAAAATGCACTGGACTTGTTGCACAGAATTGCAAGCAGGAGTGACACATTTTGATCGTTCATTTGCCAGCTGAAGGGAGCTGGTTCACACCCAATGTGTAAATTGCTCTCATCGCATGTATGCATGAACCTACACCATGGACTGGCCAGACTCTGGCACAACTGGGAGAGCTGTTACATTACTGAGAACTATAGTTAAAGGTAAAGGGTTCCCTTGCTCGAAAGCCAGTCGAATCTGACTCTAGGGCTGCGGTGCTCATCTCTGTTTCAAAGCCGAAGAGCCAGCGCTGTCCGAAGACATTTCCATGGTCATGTGGCTGGCATGACTAAACACCAAGGCGCATGGAATGCTGTTACCTTCCCACCGAAGTGGTACCTATTTAATCTACTTGCAATTTCTTGCTTTCGAACTGCTAGGTTGGCAGGAGCTATAGCACAGAGCAATAGTCATGCAAAAGCCAGAAACCAACAGGTGCAGGCAATATTTTATTGCCAAACTGATTCTGGATGTGTTGTTCCTCTTGGGAAATGATGAAGCTACTAATACAACAAATGTGATAATCTATTTGTACTGAAACTATACCATTAAAATAAGTGTAGAATTACCAGGGATATGATGCAATGCTATATAATAATATAACTGCATTGTTGTCCATGACCCAAAGGTTTAAATGCTGCCACTAAATAAATACCTATCTAGCACCTACAACATTTCTGTTGGTTTGGGTGATGCAAAAGTCATTCATGTCACGTTGACCTAGCCAATCCTAACAATGCCAACCTGCAGTCAAGGCTTTCAGTCAGTAAGTAATGAAACACACTAATATGATGTTCACCGTGTCATTGTGGGAAGGGAAGGGAACAAACAATACTCCTTCCATTTATAATTTCCCCAAACATTTACAGGTGTTCATTATATAAGTCCCCAACTCCCAGAAATATTATTTGAAGATGTGAAAACATTGAACATTCTCATGGCCCAAAAATGAGTGGGAGGCAGAACCAGGAATCCTACTTCACAATCTCTCATTCGTCTAGGTGGGAATAAGCCCTGTTGAATAGAGAGGACCTTTGAAGGGCTGTAGTTCAGTGGAACAGCCTCTGCAGAAGGTCCCAGATCCAATCCACAGCATCTCCAGTTGAAAAAGGGCCAGGCAGTAGGTGATATGAAGGACCTCCACCTGAGACCCCGGAAAGCTTGCTGTCAGTCTGACTAGACAATACTGACTGTGGTGGACCAGTGGTCCGATTCAGTACAAGGCAGCTTCATGTGTATACACCTGAGTGATCAAATGGTCAGGCTGTACCTCCAAGGCTTATCTGTTCCTAAGGACTAATCTGACTCAAACCTTCTTTGTCTATAGAGTCACAACAACAAATTTAGAGTCCAGTCAGGCACCTTTAAGACCAACAAAGGTTTATTCAAGGTATGAGCTTTTGTGTGCGCGCACACTTTATCAAATATTTATCAATATCAAATATTTATCAAGTAGAGACAATTGAGCACATTGTGTGTACTATAAAGAAATTAGGGTTACGTTTCTTCAACTCATATTAGGGAAGTTCCTTGGCTGCCCAGATACGGAGATAAGGAAGAAATTTATTTCTGATTCCAATTCTCAGCTCTCGCTAATTTGCGCCAGGTTTCTGCCAATCGCTTATAGAATTCGTAAGGACCAAGTAAAGAACTGAAGTAGACAGAATAAGACAGTATATTGGATGAATTTCATTTTATTTGTTTATAATGTATTTTATAAGTATTTATATGTAGTTTAACCAAAGGGTTACAGATAAGACTGATTTGTCTATAAATGTTTTATGAATGAACCCTAGAGATTTTAAACTGCTGTAACTGAACTGTGCTGGTTATACACCGAATAAATACTGACTGACTGGCTCAGGAAGGAGGGCTCCAGAGCAAACTAATTTATGCAGTAGCCCAATCGCTCGCTCACTTTAATGCCAGTAGCTCACAAAGTAGAATTTTTGCTCACAACACTTTTGTAGCAGGAACTCCTTTGCACATTAGGTGACACACCCCTAATGTAGCCAATCCTCCAGGAGCTTACAGAGCTCTTCTTACAGGGGCTACTGTATTCTTATTACATTGTTTTGAGGATTTTATTGTACTGGGCCTACTTTGTGAGCTGCCTTAAGCAGCTCTCTGGGGAGACGTCATATAAGTTTCTAAATAGATAGATATCCCTTCTTTATTTCCTTACTTGCAGTCTGGCAACCAAATGTGCAAACTGTCTCAATGAAAAAGTGTGCTTCAGGTAACATTTGGGGTGATGTAAAGTTCTGTCTGCAGAGCTCGCTCTGTGCCAGTTCTCCTTCACATGTACAAGCTGCAGCCATCAATGAATAAAATCGTACAAACCAGCCCTGCCTTAGGATTTAGTGAAACTGGGGCAAATCAGCAAGGTCTTAGCAAAACCCTATGATTTTCTCAGATTCTCCCTACTCTCCTGCTAGAGAACCCTCTGGCTTCCCAATAACCATGAGGTGTTAACCTGCTTGTGATAACTGCATAAGAACATAACATAAGAACGTAAGAGAAGCCAATGTTGGATCAGGCCAATGGCCCATCTAGTCACAGTGTCACACAGTGGCCGAAAATACCAGGTGCCATCAGGAGGTTCACTAGAAAAGAAGAAGAAGAAGAGATTGGATTTATACCCCGCCCTTCACTTGGAGTCTCAGAGCGGCTTACAAACTCCTTTCCCTTCCCCTCCCCACAACAGACACCCTGTGAGGTGGGTGGGGCTGAGAGAACTCTGACACAAACTGCTCTATTTCAAGGACAGCTGTGCCAGAGCTTGTGACTGACCCAAGGTCACATCAGCAGGTGCAAGTGGAGGAGTGGGAATGAAACCCGGTTCTCCCAGATTAGAGTCCGCACACTTAACCACTACACCAAACTGGCTAGAAGCCCTGCCACTGTTATTCCACCCCCCCATGCACCAAGAATACAGAGCATCACTTGCCCCAGCCTGAGAGTTCCTAAAAGGTGCCTGCTCCTTGGGAGGACAGCGATGGCAAACCTAGGCAGCATAATAAAAAGTAGAGACAGCACCCTGCCAACAAAAGTCCGTATAGTCAAAGCAATGGGGTTCCCAGTACTACTGTATGGCTGTGAGAGTTGGACTGTAAGGAAGGCCGAGCGCCGAAGAATAGATTCTTTTGAATTATGGTGCTGGAGAAGACTCTTGAGAGTCCCTTGGACTGCAAGGAGATCAAATCAGTCAATCCTAAAAGAAATCAATCCTGACTATTCCCTGGAAGGCCAGATACTGAAGCTGAAGCTCAAATACTTTGGCCACCAAATGAGAAGGGAGCACTCACTGGAGAAGACCCTGATGCTGGGAAAGACTGAAGGTCAAAAAAGAAGGGGACAGCAAAGAATGAGATAGTTAGACAGTGTTATCGAGGCAACGAACATGAAATTAAGCAAACTCTGGAGCACGATGGAAGACAGGCGGGCCTGGCATGATGTGGTCCATGGGGTTGCGTAGAGTCGCTTGATTGTGCGACTGAACAACAACAACATTATGATACTGGCTGATTTGTTTTCAATTCCCTTCCAAATAATCCCCAGCATAGTGATGGCCTTTTATAGTGCAGTTGCACACTGTCTTGACATTTTCATTGGGTTATCTACTACGACTCCAAGGTCTCTCTCTTGGACAGTCTCTGCCAGTTCAGATCCCATCAATGTGTATTTATAGTTAGGATTTTTGGCTCCAATGTGCATCACTTTGCACTTGGCCACACTGAACCCCATTTGCCATGTTGATGCCCACTCGCCCATCCTTGACAGATCCCTTTGGAGTGCCTCACAATCCTCCCCGGTTCTCACCACCCGAACAACTTTGTGTCATCTACAAATTTAGCCACTTGACTGCTTACTCCCAAATCCAAATCATTAATAAACAAGTTAAAAAGCATCGGACCAAGTACTGATCCCTGTGGTACCCCACTGCTTACCACCCTCCACTGAGAAAATTTCCCATTTATAATCACTCTCTGTTTCTTATTAATTAGCCTGTTTTTTTATCCACAAGAGGACTTGTCCTTTTATCCCGTGACTATTGAGCTTACTTAGGAGCCTTTGATGAGGAACTTTATCAAAAGCTTTCTGGAAGTCAAGGTAAACAACATCTATTGGGTCCCCCTTGTTCATATGTTTGTTCACTTGCTCAAAAAAAC